ACAAACTATAAAGCTTGCATGCAAACCAACTATATTTCCGGGCCGCATGACTCTACAATAAATATTTCCAAGATCTTCAACACTCTAAAGTTGTAACTTACAAAAATCACACCTTTTACTATCACCTAAATACACGAAGATTATTTGCAAAATAGAAAGACAAACTCATAATTGTATTATACAATAAGGTTATTGAAAAAATTGAAACATCTTACCAAGTACTGGGGGTCCCGTCAGAACGCCTATACCACAGAAGAAAATAAGAAGTCCGTAGCCACTAGACATTTTCTCTATTCCTATTAAACCAACAGTTATAGGTGTCAACAAAGCATTAGGTCCCCCACAATAAAACCCACTCAAAACAGCCAACACAAATCCTGAATATGACCATTGCCCGTATAATGGAAACAAAATTGTTGAAAAACTTAGAACCCCTAACATTCCTATTTGCAGTATGTTGCTATCAATTCCTCCACTGCCCACAGTTGCAGCGGCACACAACCGTCCTAGAGTGTTTGATATACTGAACACTGTCATCACCGATACAACTGATGCATCACCAAACCCTCTCGTTACCATATATCTAGGTAAGTGTAACGAACATGCTGATAATAAAAAATTCCAGGATAACGTACTTAGCATAAATAAAACTAATTGTCTGTTCTTTAAAAGAATCAAACTCAATTTTATACTTGATTTCAATTTTTGGTATATTGTTGTAAAAGTTGAGCGGTCCTCATTAGTTTGCTTTGTCTTCATTCGTTTCAAATTCCGTTCCTTAGAATTAGGCCAGCATATTAAGGACCCAACACAGATCTGTAAATTGATCCCGCTCACGATTAGAAAAGAGCCGTTTATTCCGAATGTTTCTATTAACCAAAATAACAATGGTGATGCAATAAACATCCCAACACCGACAAGAACCTCTCTGAAAGAGAGTGCAATGTTCCTCATTTTCTCGAAGTTGTATGCAATAAAAACAGATTGTGGCATTGCGCCATAAGCGTTTCCGATACCTGAAATGTATAAGAATGTAAACATATTAAAACCGGAATAGGTTAGAAAGTCATTGTCAAAGCATTTCTTTTTACAGTATCGTAAGGTACATTCCTGTCACAAAGTCATGTTTGTTAAGTGTTTGTCGTGTGGCAAGAAGGCTTAACGTTTGATCATGATTAAACCATATGATCTTTAACAAATTATTACCAGCATAGTATAGTACATACAGATTCGGTGTCTGCTGTTAAAATAAAACTAAATCCCCGGTATTATCAGCACCCTTAATGCATTCATGTAACAAATGACAAGCGGACAGTCAATGCCAACAAATTTAACATATCTATACATACCTCCGATAATTCCTATGGTGACGATATAAACGTCGATGCTATTCGAAAAGAAACTGGTAAAGTAGGAAATACTCAGTAGAATTCCACCAACAAACATGCAAGTTCTACAGCTGTATATATCCATGAATACTGATACAACTGGACCTAAATGATATATTAAATAACAGAAACATAATAAATATCAAAATACAACATGAATATGATTGGATTTTGACATGCATAGTAATTTTAAACATATCTGCTTTTGCTGTAAAGCTTTCATATGTATTAACCATACATTTTGCCTTTCCTATTGTAACATCATCAGGGATTAAACTTACGGACAGATGACTTATTACTTGATAATATAGTTTGGGTATTATATATTAACTCATTATGCTTCTGAAATGTTGTTTTGCAATATATACAATATAAATGATTACAAATGTATTGACATTTCAAACGCCACTTGTTATTGAGCATTTGTGTATGTTATACATGGCTGTGTTAGTGTACTTTTCAGCCATATAACAATACTCTTCAGTTCTAAATTACCTTACTCTAGCGTCTTTGATAAATCAGATTTCTTAATTTTTTTGATGTTTTTTCTCTTTCGTTTAATAAAAAACACATGTCGTCACAACATGAAACCCCAGAAAAATTTAACCAATAGACGAGCATCTGAAAATGACTTTTCCATCATTATCCCTTGGTAACTGACGTGCAGGACTATATGAAACTTATACCTGTACTACAGTTAACACACTGTGCATATATGGGTAAAAGATTTAACTCTGACATATTTTCAATAGAAAGGTCTCCAAACTATGATACAATTTATGCCTACAATCATTTATATAAATGTACATATATTAATGTTTAACACATATTATATTTGAATTACCCTGTTTTTACGAAAATTGTTGACGATGCATACCCATTAGATTGAGAAGAGCCGAATTCAGTGCACCAATCATAGAGGTTTTCGTAAGATCTTCGTTATAGAGGTCCATTAATACAGCAAGGTATAATCCATTCATATATAACGTGGTGCATTGAAATATCACCAGACAGTAAACAGTCATTAGAATAATCCAGGCACGCCCTTTGTCTACGTCATCATGCGCAACAGAAGACATGCTACATTTTGAAGAAGGAAAAATGCAAAATGATGACACATAACAAATATAAATAGACTTTATCACACCCGGCAAACTAATACTCCATATAGCAAAAAACTAGCGGATGAGCGGCGGCTAATTATAAGTGATACTTATGTTTTTGTCTTCTTATTCTTTGGAAAAAAAACAAGTTAAATTAATTACAGTAGAAGAAAAAACAAAAAGAACACTTGCTGAGGAAACATTGGCATCTCAAGCCCTCGTTATAATATTATTAAAAACCTTTCGAACATCTCTGATATCTCGGGAGAATGGCGATATGTTTCTGATTGTCAATTAAAATCACTTTTAAATGTTGAACGCTACGTATTAAAAGGACTCAATTGAGGTTTAAAAGCCTTAAAACATAACATTTAAATTTCTTACATAAATGAGCTGGGGCATTTTGAACAGAAATATATGCAAATATAGTTAAGAAATATACTTTGAAATAAATTGGAAATCGTATTTTTATGCTTTTCTTAGCCCGATTTGTTTAAACGCTTTTCTTTTTGGGTCCTTTTTTTACAATTTGAATAATTATTCTGAAAAAACGAAGGGCGCGAATAATCTGAAATTTTGCACAAAGATTAGTGGTCTAAACCTACATCAAATGGTACAATTATCTGGAAAAAAATATGTTCAGTCCCATCATGTCACAAAACCTGAGTGGAGTCCCTTTAAGAGAAATACAATTTTCGTTGATCCAACCATAAATTAGGTATAGAAATAGGCAGACACACTAATATCCAAAGAGAAGAATGTCTGTGTACAACTTGTAATGATAGTATAGATTGTGAGTTCCATGCTTTCTTTATATGTAGAAAATACAATCAAATCCGTGATAATTAATATTCAATTGGTATTTCGGCGGAAAAGAACCAGATGATTTTATGCATTAGTACACGTGATACAGCCACATGAGCAAGCTTGTATTTTATGTATATGTTTTAATGGACAATATATAAACAATTTGACATTGTTATAAATATTGTTAAGGTAGTTCCCAAATATATATATGGTTAAGGTGACGCAACCATATTACGAAATTGTTATGTATACCTATTAATTTTGGACCGGAGGCCTAAGGACACAAATAAAGTTATTTGAATCTATACCAAGTGATTATAAATTAGTAATAAACACAGACAATATAGATTTGTAAATGAGCTGATGCATACTTTTAACTTACTATGTTTTTAAAAACTGACGTAATTTCTTAACAATACTTACGAGTAAATAAGCGAAAGAGCAGCATCTATTCTCTCGTATGTCCAATTCTAAATTTATGACATATTTTAACAAACCCTTCGTATGTTTTAAGATGGAAAGATTGATGCAATCCGTAGTCTGTATACAACGACACAAAACCTTGATATAATTCATTGGAATGACAGCCTTTAAGATTAAACATCAAAAATCACATATTGCTTCCCGATGAACATGACTTGTTTCTATTAAAACATCAGAGAACTAAAAATACCGGTTTATGTCGCTAACACACAGCGATTATGTAATGAATACTTTGTATTTCAATGCTGTTCTTTGAATATGCTCCTTTTATCTTTATTGTATGTTAATACTCCGTTTATTGCTCCTTTGGTTTTCGCGCCAAAGTCTTATTATATTACATTGCTCCTTATAACTTTCCCGCCATTGAATTCCCGCCACATACATATTCACGTGCTTTTCATGATAGCATTGTATAAATAGAGACCGCATGGTCACAGAAGTTGAGTGTGTGTTAAAAAGTATTGTAAGAAGGAAAGTGATTGAGATATATGTAAAATACATTTAGTTGTAAAAGTTGTTAGAGAGATATTGTAAAAGTAAAAATAAAAAAGTGTTTAAAATTGGATATTTAACGTAGAAACGAAAAAGTGTTTCTCTTATTGTGTTTACGACAGTTTACACGTACACGTACATGCTGTTTTCTTTACGAATGACTCATTGTAGAAGTGCGCAATATAAGACCAAAGCAAAGAATGTCGCCAAAGATTTGTTTTTTAAATTTTGCTTCAGATCCGTATTAAAACACTTACATGATATGGATAATTATTTTTTTGTATTATTCGCAAGAGAAGTAAAATAAGCATGACATATCTTAAAAACACCTGTTACCGAATATCTTTTCTAGGGCACCCTTCAAATATATACGGATTTTAACATCTTAAACCATTAATGCCTGATTTGTATTTTTTTCCCTTAAATGTGTGCATACTTGAGTCGGATGTCTCTTAATGTGCCGAGAAATAAGATTAACCATATGCCGAGTAACAGCATAATTATATTATCTTATATAGAAAAACCCTCAATATTTATCATTCAGAAGAACTTGCAATGTTTTCTCTGTGCTACCTGACTTGAATTGTTTAAAGTTGCAAGGTTGAATGTACTATAAATTATTTACTCTTTTTCTATGACTTGCAAATATAATCACAAATTTGTATTTAAAACACAAAACGAGTGTATTTTGTTAACTTACAAATGACAATGCAAGAATTAATATATACCTAGATGTATAATACTTTTTGTTACACTTCCATCCGTAACAAATAAACTAAAGCAGTGACATAAACATACATTCCTAATGCGGTTCAACAAGTTACCATGTCTCCAGTACCTATTGTTAAAATGTTTACAAACAATTAAACAAATACATAAAATGGTAATTACATTATAAAATCTCCCTGCTTTTATCATTAAATGTTAGAAAGTTTGGGATATATTTAATCCTGTGAAATAAAGAAAACAGTATACGACTTGATGAGAATCCTGACGCCTTCTTTCTTAACGTGAACAAGTTATCACTTCATTCTTATATATCAAGCATACGAGTGTTTAAGAAAAAGGAAAATTTTACTTTTTTTAACTATGAATATAATTTTAGGATGTTTTCTTTTGTTTGCATGTGTGGACGGGCTTAAACGCTGTAAGTTAGCATAACGTTCACTGTTTTACACTTGTTTATATTATAATGTAAAAAACACTGTATCATCTAGATGATATTGTGAGGGGATTTAGTTTACTCGTTCAATATACAGGAGTAAATCAATAAGTATAATTGTCTAACAACTCTGGTAACATAACTTAATCATTTGCATGGCATTATCAGTTAATGTGATGTGTGAACATAATCACTTTTCGAAAGTACGTATTTTATAGCATGTAACGGTATAATAAATACATGTATAGTTTATCATAAGGTACACACGTAGGCATACGGATATTTTACTGATTAAGACGACTAAATTTTATAAAAGGTACAATGAAAATATATACTGTCATTTTCAACTTAATATTTGTATATTATTCATATTCTTCTTATTAAATATTGTAAAAACAAGATTTTCTTTTCACAACACGTGCAAATAAGGGGTGAAAAACGTTCACAGAAATTTCATTAAGAACTGAAATATAATTATTAATGTATCAACTTTATAAATACCTGTTGGTAGTCATTCTAGAGGATGGCATCATTATGGCCAATAAAGCCCCTATGGCGTGTATAAACTAAATAATTTATGCATCCTGTTTATGATGCTACAGCCCAGCGTCGATTATTGATACAAATCTATTTATTAATGAAACATCATTAATTAATACAATTAATTTACTTATAACTATTAAGCACGCGACTGCAAAATCTACCTGAGTCAATACATATAATAATTTAGCAATTTATTACGACCTACAGATTATCCTTTCAATAAAAAAAATGTGAAAATATATATACTAGGAAAAGTTTTTTTACTTTTATAATCATAATAATAGATATGTAATATTAAAATTATCTGCTTACTGGGATGATCCGGGACGATCCGGGGTAAAATTATTGTTGCGGTCACACTTACCCCGGCATCACTACGGTAATTTCCAACTAACAACCAGCATGCAGAGTCTAGTGGAAGTTACGGTTCATGCCGGTGCTTCCCCGGTCGTTCCCGGATTACGCAGGTTCCCGGATTACGCCCCGGTTGACCCAGGCAGAGCCTCGGTCGATCCAGACAGAGCCCCTGCAGAGCCAGGGACGATCCCGGCAGAGCCCCATGGATTGAAAACGCGCGAAAAAATGATAACGTTGATGCATTATTTTCATTTAATATAATATCTATTGTTCATTATAATTTTCTTAATAATCCTATGCAAGACTGGACAGAATGGAAATAAGGAAGGTTTTAATACAAACACGTGCAATCATCGCAAATTGCCAAATGAACCGGGCTTTGTTGCGGCTCTACCGGGATCAACCGAAGCTCAGTCGTCATCCTCCGGGACTCTGCCGGCATCACTGGGGCTCTGCCAGAAATCACCGGCGCTCTACCGTAGCTCTACCTCTACCGGATATATCATACCAAGGATCATCCCGGTTTGTGCCGGCAGAGCTACTGTGCTTCCTCGGTGTAATCCCAGTTGTTCCCGGCAGAGCTAAGGATGAAACCGGATATATACTTTCCCAGATCACCCCGGACCACCCCGGTGATATTAAATATTTTATTCTATCCGGGGTCGAATGCCGGATGTTCCTTGATCATCCCGAACGTTGCGAACAGGTTGTTCCCGGTCGTATCCCCGGTCGTTCCCGGATCACCCCGGACGTCTACAGGGGCTTGACGGGATGTAAGTGAGACCACATCTTAATATGTTCCCCTCTTTTTCCAATCAGTAGAACAACAAGAAGCAATATGTTTTCTACAGCATTTGTACTTCTGACATTTGTTATTTTTTCAATTTTATCTTTTTTCTATCATGTAGAGTGTTGTGAGGGTTAATTATTCTGTATACTCAGTTTAAGTCTGTATTGTTGTTGCTGTATTAAAATAACGAAATGACGTCATCATATCTAGAGAAGGATACAATTGATTGTCATACAGTGATAATCGCTTAATACTTTATTTATTTGTCGATACGTAGAAAACGGACTTACTTACGTATAAGAAGATAGAGAAATTTAATTAAAAATACTGATAATTTTTGTTAGAAAAAAGTTGGAATGCTGAATATCCATTAAACAGAAATTTTATCATACAGACTATGCCTCGGAATCATGTGGTCACGTGCTGGGTCCCGACCAGCTCTCAGTAATATTATTTGACGAGGACGTGGATTATGACAAGAAACAACCGTCAAACCAGCAAGATCTTCAGCCACCAATCGAGTTGAGGTATCAGTTATAATTAGTTTAGATAGAATTTCTTGAATTAATCAGTACTCATGACATATGAGAACATATGATTATGTCCCAGGCGGCAAACAAGACCATCTCTGGAATGTTTAACAGTTGTTTTATATACATAATAAAATACACGATGGGAGCTTAGACTTAGATTTACTTCCTACTTTAATTTTATTTCAAAACTTTGAGTATGCACTTTCTTTCTTGTATCACAGACAAAAATAAAAACACTTTCCCTGTTTTCACAATATGAAACCCCAAAATAAATGAACCAATTATGTACGAGCATCTGAATTTGATTTTCTATCATTATTCATTTCCCTGTCATCATAATATAACCCCTGAAATGTAGGCAATCAAAGAGCATTCTCTATGTTTATCACCGACAAATAGTGCGGTAACTTGAGTGCGGGTTACTAATACCTGCTTAAGGTAAGCCTTGACTGTCTTATAATTATAAACCTTTACGTTGTTATGCCCAAATTGCAATATATTGAGTCAACCTTTCCTTATACAATGTGCACTCATGAATATATTATGTGGAACCATCCTGATCTATAGTCAACTGAACAATATATGATGTCAATGTGCCTTTATATGATGTCAATATATCATTATACGATGTGCATTTTTGAATATTTTATGTGGAACCATCCTTATATAAGGTCAAAATAATTATATATTATGTCAGTCTGTCATTATAAGATGTGAAGTTATGAACATAATTATTATGTGGAACCATCTTTATATAGAGTCAACATTATATGATGTCAATGTTTCCTTATATTATGTCAATCTATCAATATACGATGTGCATTTTCAGTATATTATGAGGAATCATTCTTATATAGAGTCAACTTAACAAACTATGGTGTAAATGTGTCATTATATGATGCCAATCTTTCATTATACGATATGCATTAATGAATATAATATGTGGAACCATCTTTATATGACATCAGAGGTCCTACAAAAAGTATAATGACCGCTCAGGCGGTAATTATGTCACGACGAGTAGTTATACACAGCGCGCGTTATATAGTGACCGCAAACATTTAGCGTGCCGAAACCAATGTATAAAAAATAGCAGTTAAATTTAGTGTTGGTTAACCGTATATATGTATATTTTACATACTCAGGGTGAAAAATATCTGTAAACTATTTAGCAACAAAAGTAAATATATCAGTTGTTTAATTTTGTTATATTAACAGTGGTTATTTAAAGAAATTATGAGTAAAATCGTAAATTTCAATGAATAAAAGAAAATGCTAACCTTTGACAGGAATTGTCACAGCCGACGCAAATATAAATAACACAACACCAAACAGTAGAACAATTTCTTCTCTAGCAAGATAAGCTTGATTTTAATTGTGCTAACTTAAGGTAAAAGAGACGTATTTGTTATAACGGTAAACAAAAACGTCCAGATTTTAAACATTTGAAAACGTCTACAATTACAAAATCGATAGTAGCTAAGTTGATATAATAGTAATTATCATGCCTGTACGTACATTACCGTGAAGTTTAAAAAAATAAAAATAGCACAAAGTTACACTACAAGAAATTAATCATAATTGCCTATCATTTTGTATACATCAGACTCTATTATATCTTTCATTAACGCAGTTTAATAGAGGGGAAACAATCCTGGCATGTCACAATGTCATATTTTTATACTACTTATCTCCCTCTACAAGTCCGGTGTCATTTTTGAACATTTGTTTTGTGTTAATATCCATCATAAAGTTTAGTTTAAAACTCATACAAGTGTGAATGTATGTTTTACATTGTTTATGAATATTATATTTATGTTTACGCAATATTCAAAGCTTTGAGATGCGTTTATAAATAAAAGCAGTAATTTATATTTTTCTCTTTTACCATCCGAAAAACATGGTTTTTTAAGGAACAAAATGGCTGCTATTTGAATTATGATGCTTTCATATTTTTTTGTGTTTAAATCACAGCTATAAGTGCCCTTTTATATCGGATGACATTTGATGAATGGTGTTGCGTTCAAATATATGTTGGAATGTAATACAACTGCTACGATATATACATGTAGTATAGTTTTTGTCTTGTTGTTACTGTACATTTTATATACAATTTATATCACTATAGCTATTTTATATTTTTTCGTGCTTGTATTAAATTTGGCATATAATTTATGTTAAAACGGTCATGAACTTTATTGATGTTTAAATTTCTTTATCGCCAGAAACACAATATGGGAATGTATCATAATAGTTCGTGGGGTACCGTCAACAACAGAAGAGCGTTGGATTGGAATACATTGGAGAGAATTTCACGTTTGGGACCTGGCTATAGGAACGGCAGGCGAGAGCATTGAAGAATGTGGTAAAACATACATCACTGTGTTTCAAGGTTAGTTATACATATAATGTCGTCGACAACAACTGACCAGATAATTATATATTAGAAATGTATTTCCATGAATTAACAGAGAGTCATAAGAGGTTTCAAAAGAAAAAATCCATTTTCTTTATTCAGCGACGTAAGCGTCAATTACAAGAAAACCATTTCTCTTATTAAGGTGCTGATACGTCTGCAGTAAATAACTGGACGCTATGTGGCAAGGATACAACACGACTGTTCTTTGAGTGGCCTGGCGATTACGTCACGTTTTACATCTACGCTGATTTCCGGCGTAATGAGTCGTACACAACACCATCGACTACCACAACTACCACACAGGCAACATGTGTGGAACCGGACTCAGTCAATGGTAAAACATTGTTTGGTTGCCTTCAAAAGTTTTAGTTCCTATTTCAAAGTTAACATTTGTATGAACATTATTTTCAAGTATGAATATATGTTTTAAATTTCTTGTTTGGTAAACTGAAGGTTTATGAGATTCCGACAGACCTGACAAGTGTGTCTACATCATGAGCCATTATGAAATGTTCTGCATGTAACACAGTCGTACCATACAACGTTTCATTCAGTGGTGTTCACATTGACTTTGTCCCACATCTCCCATGTCCAGGAATTGTTAAGACCGTCCTTAAAGGGTCATTTGACGTAATTATTTTCTTTTACAGAATGTTTTACTATGATTGGCAGCAAATTGAAATAACAAAATATACTTGCTATTTTGTTCCAGCGGGTGACGTCACTCAATTACCGATTTGTACAACACCGAAAGGTAAAGGAAAGACTGACGGAACGACAACACCCCCTGACCTGGACACTTACCCATACCCACAAGTGCATTTTCGAGTAGACATTACGTCGTTTGATTTCGGTAAGCCTTTGAATCAAATGTATTTAGTTAACCATTAACTTCACTAAGATGGGGTAAAGGCGACTTTCTATATTTCCTGATTGATTGATTGATTTTCTTTAGACCGGGCGGTCAAGGATAACCTACGAAAGTGCAAGCACTTATTTCCAGTAGGGTCCTTATCTCACCAGACTCTAGAGACAGCTATGACATACAAGGGAGTCCGGGAACCAGTTCCTAGCTCTGATTGAAAAGACCCCTTGGTTCTTTTACATGCCCAGTGTATAGCACTGATACATGCGAGGATTACCTGGGTTTCTTACCAGTTAACCTCTAGGTAGGTGGGAAACACTGAAAGTGTCTCTGAAAAATCCTAAGGGTGTTACCCAGGATCGAACCCGGAACCTCTGGAGTGACAGTCAGTGGTCTAACCAACTGAGCTATCGCGCCACCTATTCCTGGTTAAGAAAATCCCAAGTGCCAATTTCGGTAATGATTCATGCACGAATGAGTAGAACCTCTGTACCTTTCTCCCATCTACTTAATAGGATTCGAGTCTACAGCACTGAGAGGTAAAGTATTCAAAATCAGCGACCTTAACCAATCCTACAAGGAGGCCTTAATTTTAATTATCTCAAATCACTTAGAAATTAAAGTAAAACATCTATAAATTATATATATTTCGATTATTATATCATACATAATTAACACTTCTAAGTTATAAAAAGTCGTCTGCTATTTTTGCTACATCTACATCTACTGGTAGCTATTTTTCTAATATTATACATCTCAACTAGAACTGTACCTAGACTGTATACTAGAAGTTGATAATCACAATAAATGTTTTTATTATTAAAGCATGTAATGAGACGATAGAGGAGCAGACGTTAAAATGTAACGACAGTGGACGATGTCTCGACCAGAGCTTGGTATGTGACTTTTTCTTCTCACATAACTGTAAATCAGAAGGTTTTCATGACGATAAATCAGACCAAACGAAGGATGGACCTGCTTTCTGTGGCAGTATGTTTAGTTATTTTATATGTTTATAAAACACATACTGTATTTGGTTTAATAACACATGCTGTATTTGGTTATATAACACATACGGTATTTGGTTATATAACACATACGGTATTTGGTTATATAACACATACGGTATTTGGTTATATAACACATACGGTATTTGCTTATATAACACGGTATTCTCTCTCTTGGGTTTTATAACACATACAATTTTTGGTTATATAAAACATACTTTATTTGGTTTTATAATAGAGTCTACATACGATATTTGGTTTTATGTTTACATTAACTCCTATTAACTTGCTAGAATAAAACGTGATTATCGTTTGTCAGCAACATGCTTTAATTTGATAATGAATCATAGCTAAAAAGACAACCACACCTATCCCAACTACTACGACTGAGGAACCAGTGGAACCGTTTAACTGGGAACCAATTGCCGCTGCAGTAGGCGCACTATTGGCTGTCCTGGCGCTGTGCTGGTGTTGCTGGAGACCCGGATATATACCGTGGAGATTGTCTAGACTCCGTAATATTCCGTTCTTCAATACACAGAAGTGTGTCTGCTGTCGACGTGGACCTACTCAGTGCTGTCCATGTCTGAAATGCTGCACAGGAGATGGTACAGAAGACACATATTTTGGTTGGTATAAAATATAACTTTTTTATAACTTGGTTGAAACAGTGTTTTCTTAATTTATATTTTGAGAGAAAAGCAGAACATATCATGAATGAATGTTTACTGTTTTCATATTGAAATTACATGTGGTCCAATTTTTTAGCTCACCTGTCACAAAGTGACAGGGTGAGCTTTTGTGATCGCTTTTCGTCCGGCGTCCGTCCGTCGTCCGTCCGTAAACTTTTACTTTAAATGACATCTCCTCATAAACCACTAAGCCAATTTCATCCAAACTTCACAAGAATGTTCCTTTGGTGGTCACCTTTAAAAATTGTTCAAAGAATTTAATTCCATGCAAAACTCTGGTTGCCATGGCAACCGAAAGAAAAAAACTTTAAATATCTTCTTTTAAAAAACCCTAAGAGCTAGAGCTTAGATATTTGGCATGAAACATCTTCTAATGAGTGTCTACCAAGTTTGTTCAAATAAAAGCCCTGGGGTCAAAATTGGCCCCGCCCCAGGGGTCTTTGATTTCCCCTATATGCAAAGAGTAAAAACTTAAAAAATCTTCTTTTAAAGAACCCAAAGAGCTAGAGCTAAGATATTTAGCATTAAACATCTTCTAATGAGTGTCTACCAAGTTTGTTCAAATAAAAGCCCTGTGGTCAAAATTGGCCCCGCCCCAGGGGGTCATTGATTTTCCCTACATGCATATAGTAAAAACTTAAAAAATCTTCTTTGAAAAAACCCAAATAGCTAGAGTTTAGATATTAAGCATGAAACATCTTCTAGTGAGTGTTTACCAAGTTTGTTCAAATAAAAGCCCTGAGGTCAAAATTGGCCCCGCCCCAGGGGGTCTTTGATTTTCCCTATATGCTTATTGTAAAAACTTAAAAAATCTTCTTTGAAAAAAAACCCAAACAGCTGGAGTTTAGATATAAAGCATGAAACATCTTCTAGTGGGTGTCTACAAAGTTTGTTCAAATAAAAGCCCTGGAGTCAAAATTGGCCCCGCCCCGGGTCTTATTGATTTTCCTTATATGTGTATAGCAAAAACTTAAAATCTTCTTTGAAAAAAACCAAATAGCTAGAGTTTAGATATTAAGCATGAAACATCTTCTAGTAAGTGTCTACAAAGTTTGTTCAAATAAAAGTCCTGGGGTCAAAACTGGCCCCGCCCCAGGGGTGTCATTGGTTTTCCTTATATGTGTATAGTAAAATTTAAAAAAACTTCTATTAAAAAAACCCAATGAGCTAGAGCTTAGATGTTTAGCATGAAACATCTTCTTATGGGTGTCTACCAAGTTTGTTCAAATAAAAGCACTTGGGTTAAAATTGACCCTGCCGGGGTGGGGGAAGGGGGTAGATCGTTGTTTTTCATTATATGTGTGTAGTAAAAATTTAACATCGTGAAACATCTTCTAATGGGTGTCTTCCAAGTTTGTTCAAATAAAAGCCCTGGGGTTTAAACTGGCCCCGCTCCGGGTGCCTTTATACAGGTGAGCGACCTCAGGGCCATCATGGCCCTCTTGTTTAATTGAACTGTAGTTACCTTAAGACCAGATAACACAGTGTTTTGACTGTGCTCAACCATGGTTCACTTAAATTATTGAAGGTTTTCTATTTATATACAAACATTAAAGCGGGGACAGTACAAGGTGTTGGCGGTGGAGGTGGTGGCAAGAAGAAGTTGTCCGTTATTGGTGGGCGACCATTTGGACAAAGCGGTAGTAATATTTTACTTTGTTATATTTACTAGAAATAACCTCCAAAAAGTGAAACGGAAACGATTTCGAATTAAAAAATATCCCGATATAGTTTCAAAGAAATGACACTGATACAAGCGCATAAACAATACATTTTGAAACGTTCATAATCGCATTTTAAGTTTATATTTCATTCTCTCTTTTTAAAGATATTGTTGATTGTTTACTTATTTGTGAAAAACTCCATAACAAATATCGTTAGTCACCAAATAATTCCACTTTCTCTTTCCAATGCGCTTCTAAAGTCAGAAGTAGCCCGCCAGATTCCAATCATTATACCTCAAAAATATGTGTGGTCATTTGTAAGTCTTCGTTGTTATAATACACATGTAGTCAAATGTTTTTTCCAAACTTATCTAATGTTATTCCTTATATACTTAGTGTCAGGAGCATGTGCCCAAGACAATGCCAAACTCATATTATATAAATTTTATTCCTATTTTTAGGATTAAACTTAAGTAATGCGCCTCACAAATTCGTTACACCAGGTATGAACGCTGGGGGGAAATACGCCGCACCGTCTGCTGGATACGCCCCGTACGGATCGGCTGTGAACGGATATGGACAAGATCCTACTAACTTCGCCACAGATTGGCTCAAATTTATTACAGGAGACGGTGCCCACCTGCGTGAACAACGTTAACGAATATATTGGAAACTACACGTGAAACTCATACAAATACCGTTAGTCGAACATTTTAAAATGACGGGATTGTCAATAAATTATGTGTCACCAATTAGCGACTGTTTTATCAAACAAACAAAAATCTCGTAAAATTTTATATAAACATGACATCATTTACCTTTCTATTAATAGCAAAACATTAACATTGACTTTATAATGAGTAAACAATTTCTGTATTTTATTTTTTCTTTTTATTTTAGATTAGTCATCAGAGCGTTTAGAGAAATGTTAACATTTTTTTACATCGTATATCACAGGTTATTTTGATATTTGACATTCATTATTCAAAGATATACTATGCACATCTTTTGGTAAAATATTTTAATCTTAGAAATGTATTGAAATCCATGAAATTCTTACTAAATATGTTTAATTTGAATAAAATAATGAATAAACTATGTATTGAAAGCTGCATTCCCTATTACAGGTCAAGTTAAGTTGGTCTTTTCTTTAAAAAAAAAACTGCCAGGTTTTTTAATGACACTATATATTCATATTGTGACCACCTATAGTTTGTAGAGTTCAAAACATAACATATCTACTTTAAATGAAGTCGAAACATGTTTATTTTATACACACAAAGAGACTGGGTAGCAATTATTAACATTTTTAAAAATCAAATTTGAGCATAGTATATCTTTAATATACAAAGGCTTTAAATAGATTATATTTAACAGACACTAAAATTATTGTTCTTACACCCAACCCCCTGCCACCCCCTTAAACATTTTTCTAAATAAAAGACTTTATCATCATTTTTTTTGTAAGGTCATGTTAAAGACAGATTTATGATTGATATATGACGTACTTCAAAATCCTCTCAATGTGTAATACAGCTAAATATAATATATAAACCTAAAGCCCGTTAGTGACCAATGATTCTACCCATTTGGTTTGTACATACCAACATAAGCCGACTGATTTTACTAAACCATAGTTTATATAGACAAATCCAGATATTAAGCAGGGTTAAGGTAACGAGCTACCATGCACAAACAATCTTATAATGCATACATTGAACGTATGCCTTTATATTTAAACGTATTTATTACAGTGACACGTTCCGCTCCTTATTTACATATACGAACGTAGCCAATACGTTGCCAGATAACATTTATAATTATCTTCACTTTGTGTTTAGGTGATCAAATGGTCATTATAAAAGTGCAATGTACCTTGATCTTGGACTTGTATTTTATTCTAATAGACAATGTCATGAATACTGCTATTATTTTGAAGTAAGAAGACAATGTCATGAATACTGCTTTTATAATGAAGTTAGTAGACAATGTCATGAATACTGCTATTATAATGAAGTTAGTAGACAATGTCATGAATACTGCTTTTATAATGAAGTTAGTAGACAATGTCATGAATACTGCTTTTATAATGAAGTTAGTAGACAATGTCATGAATACTGCTATTATAATGAAGTTAGTAGACAATGTCATGAATACTGCCTTTATAATGAAGTTAGTAGACAATGTCATGAATACTGCTTTTATAATGAAGTTAGTAGACAATGTCATGAATACTGCCTTTATAATGAAGTTAGTAGACAATGTCATGAATACTGCTTTTATAATGAAGTTAGTAGACAATGTCATGAATACTGCTATTATCATGAAGTTAGTAGACAATGTCATGAATACTGCTATAATAATGAAGTTAGTAGACAATGTCATGAATACTGCCTTTATAATGAAGTTAGTAGACAATGTCATGAATACTGCCTTTATAATGAAGTTAGTAGACAATGTCATGAATACTGCTTTTATAATGAAGTTAGTAGACAATGTCATGAATACTGCCTTTATAATGAAGTTAGTAGACAATGTCATGAATACTGCTTTTATAATGAAGTTAGTAGACAATGTCATGAATACTGCTTTTATAATGAAGTTAGTAGACAATGTCATGAATACTGCCTTTATAATGAAGTTAGTAGACAATGTCATGAATACTGCTTTTATAATGAAGTTAGTAGACAATGTCATGAATACTGCTATAATAATGAAGTTAGTAGACAATGTCATGAATACTGCTTTATAATGAAGTTAGTAGACAATGTCATGAATACTGCTTTATAATGAAGTTAGTAGACAATGTCATGAATACTGCTATTATAATGAAGTTAGTAGACAATGTCATGAATACTGCTTTTATAATGAAGTTAGTAGACAATGTCATGAATACTGCTTTTATAATGAAGTTAGTAGACAATGTCATGAATACTGCTTTTATAACGAAGTTAGTAGACAATGTCATGAATGCTGCTTTGATAATGAAGTTAGTAAAGTTAGTAGACAATGTCATGAATACTGCTTTTATAATGAAGTTAGTAGACAATGTCATGAATACTGCTATTATAACGAAGTTAGTAGACAATGTCATGAATACTGCTATTATAATGAAGTTAGTAGACAATGTCACGAATACTGCTTTTATAATGAAGTTAGTAGACAATGTCAATGAATACTGCTTTTATAATGAAGTTAGTAGACAATGTCATGAATACTGCTTTTATAATGAAGTTAGTAGACAATGTCATGAATACTGCTTTTATAATGAAGTTAGTAGACAATGTCATGAATACTGCTTTATAATGAAGTTAGTAGACAATGTCATGAATACTGCTTTATAATGAAGTTAGTAGACAATGTCATGAATACTGCTTTTATAATGAAGTTAGTAGACAATGTCATGAATACTGCTTTATAATGAAGTTAGTAGACAATGTCATGAATACTGCTTTTATAATGAAGTTAGTAGACAATGTCATGAATACTGCTTTTATAATGAAGTTAGTAGACAATGTCATGAATACTGCTTTTATAATGAAGTTAGTAGACAATGTCATGAATACTGCTTTATAATGAAGTTAGTAGACAATGTCATGAATACTGCTTTTATAATGAAGTTAGTAGACAATGTCATGAATACTGCTTTTATAATGAAGTTAGTAGACAATGTCATGAATACTGCTTTTATAATGAAGTTAGTAGACAATGTCATGAATACTGCTTTTATAACGAAGTTAGTAGACAATGTCATAAATACTGCTTTTATAACGAAGTTAGTAGACAATGTCACGAATACTGCTTTTATAATGAAGTTAGTAGACAATGTCATGAATACTGCTTTTATAATGAAGTTAGTAGACAATGTCATGAATACTGCTTTTATAATGAAGTTAGTAGACAATGTCATGAATACTGCTTTTATAACGAAGTTAGTAGACAATGTCATGAATACTGCTTTTATTAATGAAGTTAGTAGACAATGTCATGAATACTGCTTTTATAATGAAGTTAGTAGACAATGTCATGAATACTGCTTTTATAATGAAGTTAGTAGACAATGTATGAATATGAAGTTAGTAGACAATGTCATGAATACTGCTTTTATAATGAAGTTAGTAGACAATGTCATGAATACTGCTTTATAATGAAGTTAGTAGACAATGTCATGAATACTGCTTTTATAATGAAGTTAGTAGACAATGTCATGAATACTGCTTTATAATGAAGTTAGTAGACAATGTCATGAATACTGTCATGATATGCTTTTATCATGAAGTTAGTAGACAATGTCATGAATACTGCTTTTATAATGAAGTTAGTAGACAATGTCATGAATAGCTTTTAATAATGAAGTTAGTAGACAATGTCATGAATACTGCTTTATATAGTTATGAAGTTAGTAGACTTTTATAATGAAGTTAGTAGACAATGCTTTATAAGAAGTTAGTAGACAATCATGAATAACTGCTTTTATAATGAAGTTAGTAGACAATGTCATGAATACTGCTTTTATAATGAAGTTAGTAGACAATGTCATGAATACTGCTTTTATAATGAAGTTAGTAGACAATGTCATGAATACTGCTTTTATAATGAAGTTAGTAGACAATGTCATGAATACTGCCTTTATAATGAAGTTAGTAGACAATGTCATGAATACTGTTATAATAATGAAGTTAGTAGACAATGTCATGAATACTGCTATTATAATGAAGTTAGTAGACAATGTCATGAATACTGCCTTTATAATGAAGTTAGTAGACAATGTCATGAATACTGCTTTTATAATGAAGTTAGTAGACAATGTCATGAATACTGCTATTATAATGAAGTTAGTAGACAATGTCATGAATACTGCTTTTATAATGAAGTTAGTAGACAATGTCATGAATACTGCTATTATAATGAAGTTAGTAGACAATGTCATGAATACTGCCTTTATAATGAAGTTAGTAGACAATGTCATGAATACTGCTTTTATAATGAAGTTAGTAGACAATGTCATGAATACTGCTATTATATTGACATAGCCAATTACAAATGCTGCTTTATTGTTAGATATATATTTTGGACCGGAGGCCTTTAATTATGAAATAAAAGAGTTCAGTTGAAAAAAACAAAAAACAAAAAAAAACACCAAAAAACGCAAGTTTCTGAAGCATCATACCAATTCCACTTACATTAGACGTAGAGAATGGCGAAAATATCATTAATGATAACAAATAAAATCTTAGTATGTTAGCATATTGAAAATGTCCTGGTTTTGTAGAGGACGCAATTGGTCAATCGGTCGATAATATATAATTCGAAAACAGGTGAAATTAGAACACTAATTTGCATAACATTTTATTGTAAAGAAAAGAACAATGAATCGTTGCTTCTTTTTTTTATTTAATAACAAAGTTTTGTATAATGTATAAAATGACTAAGCTAAAATATTGCACACATTGTAAAAGTTTATGTCATGAATTAAATAGATACTGATACATCGTAAAAAAAATAAATAAGAACACATTATCGTCCAAATAAATCTCCTTGGCAAAATAAAGATACCCGAAACAAGAATCAGTTCTCCTATTGTTTTACATGTACATTTGCTATGAAGCGAATTTCAAAGGAAGTCAACTCTCTGAGTACATGTATAATGTTGTAAAAACATAGTTTCTCTCCCTTTGATATCGGCACCCGATAGCAAGCACTCGGATAATATTCAGTCCCAAAGACTTTTTTTTGCAACTTTCACCCCTGTAAATAATGTTAATAAGGTCATCGCACCATTTGAGCTGACATTATTTCTCCCCCATGATCCTAGTGAACTGTCACGTCGACATCCGGGACATTTATCGTCAAAGTGATGTTTGTTTCCCCAAGAGCTACTATATGCGCTACATCCAGATATATGCTGACCATTGGGGTCAGAACTTGTATTGACGGAACTTCCCCAACTGCTGGCTCCCCAATTGCTGCTTGCAGATCCGCTGTTTCCCCAAGAATTTCCCCAAGACATTTTGTGTGACTGTGTATTGAAATATTGTTGCAATTACTTCTACAATGTTCTTTCTCGCTAGTAATACGACGTCTTTGCTATGTTTTTGCAGTACCTGAGAAAATAATAAAGCATCGGTAATTACTGATTTAAACTTTTAAACATACAAACTATTGGGTTAAACCACACAAAAAATCTTAACGAAGTGTTTCAATCAATTCTATGTTAGTAAATATATGTATATGTAAGTATGTATTTAAATGCATTTTATTAGTTGAAATTGTAAGCATAAATTGTCATTTAAAACTATTTGAAAACATTCATTTTTATAACATAATTGTTTATTAAATACCTACCATTTGTTGTTCAGTTCTCAGCAATCGGGGAACCCTGTCTATTTCCTGCTAGTTGGAAAAAGTGTTCGCTAGTCAAATCGTCAGTTCAATTTATACTGCCTTCTTACTGTAATTTTTTATAAATAGAAAAAATAAATACCCAGGGTTTATTTTCTGACGTCAAACGATCGGCTTTATGAATAACTAAAATAACCTTTATCCTATTTTAAAATTAATCTTTAGAATAATCTATGCGTCAATGTTCGGTTATTGTATAGAATGAAATGGAAGAAGTACAGTATTTGTAAATGTTTGAACTTTTGATCCATTTTAACAATATATATAAGCATATGCTATTTTAATCGAATTAAACTCTCCGTCATAAATTGTATTCAAATCTAAAAGTTTTAAAAGATTTTGGTTTTATTTTTAACTTTTATATGATTACTTTTCAATATTTAGATTAATTACATGTTTAGAAATAATTGCATGTGTAATAAGGGTATTTTCTTCTTCTTTTCAATCGTTTTACTCACTAAATAACAATTAAACATTTTGCGAAATACGAAATTTGCAAAAAAATGACGTATTTTCACCTATATTTGATTGATCAGATTTTCGTTTCAGTTTAATATCTTATTTGAAAACACTCTTCTAAATAAATTAGCAAATAAATTAAAATAAGTTAAGAACTGTCGTCGGCTTACAGTCATCTTAAGTGAACGACATTGTTGAATCTTTTTACTGTATGACTCCATGTACGTTGCATCAGTTCCTCTCTGAATCGACCTGACTTCTTAACTATGCATAACAAATCAGTGAAATCTGAGCATTACAAAGATCAAGCAGTTATAGAAATAGAAAATTGAGCCGTGTCATGACGAAACCAACATAATGCGTTTGCGACCAGCATGGATCCAGACTGTTCGCAAGGATCCATGCTGTTCGCCTTCAAACCTTATTGGAGTAAGAGAAACTGATAGCGAACAGCATGGATCCTGATCAGACTGCACGGATGCGCAGGCTGGTCTGGATCCATGCTGGTCGCAAACGTACTATGTTGGTTTTGTCATAGCGCGGCTCAACTGATAATAATTATGGAAACTCAAAAGACTCCAATGCTTCATATGGGCATGAATGATTTCCAACTGACTTGTCTAAGTATCAACAATACGAATTTATACATTAAAAGGTTTCCCCTAGCATCTGTAACTTTTGAAGTGGCTTCCTTTGTTGAAATATTGCTTTCCTGTATCACGCCTACTTAACACTCGTCTGGCACTTTCACTTTTTGGTGATCTGTTTAAATGAGAGCCATCGATACTTCCGTGGTAGAGCTAATGACCAAAACAAAGCTGGAAAAGGTAAACACAGATTCTAACAATATCAGATTTGAAAGAACATGCTTGTTTTCAAATATCGAAGAATGCTATGAATATTTTTTTCATCATTTGGGATGCAATGTCGATACTGAAACCCCAAAATGACGTTGCTTTATCATTTAGCAAATATCAACTCGTGTGTTTTCTTCCGCCAGGAGACACATCTTGAGTGATTTCTCTACCATAAAGTTAGTGTTGACCCACATAATCTTGCATGTAATATTTGCCTAACCCACCTTTGGCTTGACACAAAAAAATATTTCAAAGGGATTTGTTGGAAATGAAATATTTACATTTATTCAAATGTGATCCAGCCATCGACACGGTGCTGGTGCCATCGGCAATGTTAAAGAGCTCTTGCAAATGTGATGGAGCCAATACAAACATTTAATTAGTGTCGATATTGTGGAATATGGCGATGAATATTCATAAATAGACAAAACTGTATAAGTTGATAAAGACTTACATTTCGTGAAATGTTTAAGTGTGGCGTTAAGCACTAAGTAAACTTTGCCTATGTAAAAGTTAATGTTCAAACAATGAACATTAAATGTAGAATGAATAGTCGACACACGACAACGGCGAAAACCAATAAAATAATGCGCTCCCAAGAATCAAGTTTCAAAAAGTTAATCAAACAATCTTGATCAAAGACACCATTTTTTGCAAATTTAACATTCTGCACTTGGGAAAACATTAAAAAAAGAACATTATTTTTTATATTATTTTCTAAATCTTACTATGTGTTATAATGTATTTTATTTTTTACATCATTAAATTTTTTAAATAATTGTGAAAAACTGGATACAATGATCGTGCATTTCAACCATGCATACGGAAAGCATGTGTAAGGTGCATAACCTTATCAGTCATCATTTATTTTGGCAGCAAAGTCTTATTTTTCTCTATGATGCATATAATATCTCATTGGCCTCCGTGCATCTAAATATTATCTCAAAAACCGACTTGCATACATATTGAGTATCATTCAGTGAATTACTGGATTCAAAATTTATAGGTCACATTTTGGTAGAGAATGACATTTTAGGACATGAATGGTGACATGTCCGGGGTGCCTCATTTAGCCTAGATTACACATACGTACATAAAATGCTATCTCACTTAATTTGGGGATTCTTTAGATAAATCGGAAAAACTCCACAATATCGACACCTATTGAGTGCTTTATTGGCTACGTCACATTTGCCAGGGCTCTTTCACATTGCCGATGGCACCAGCACTGTGTCGATGGCTCGATCACATATGAACAAAATTGATGTTACTATTTTATTTTTAACCAAGCTCTTTGAAATATGTTTTGTGTTCAGCCAACGGGTAGATTAGGATCGTGTTCCATGCACGATGAATTGGTCAAACATTTACTTTACGGTAAAGAAATCACTCAAGATGTGTCTCAACGTAACAGAAAACACACAAGTTAATAGTTAGTAAAAGTTCTAGCAACGTCATTTTGTGGTATTACGTATCGAAACTGCATGCCAACTGATGAGAAAAATGTTCTACATGGTAAAACAATCGTCGAACAAGTATATTTTTTTAAAAAAAAAACCCGGATATTTTTAGAAACTGTGGTAACCTGTTCAGCTTTGTTTTGGCTCTACAACAGAAGTGTCGAGTGCTCTCATTTAAACAGATCAAGAAAATGTGAAAGAGCTACTGTTTAGTAGTCGTGTGTATGGGATTCCCCCTTGATTTTTGTTTTAAAAGGAAATCATTTTGTTCAAATATGTCAAACATCTATGATGTCAATTTATGCAAGTTATTCATTCATTGTTGGTCAAGTCAAGGTTGGATTGTATGAGGACTTTAAAGCTATAATAATAGAGAAAGACCTAAGGATAACCTATGTGCATATTTCCGTGCCTGAGTACACCTAAGAAGAACCCAAATTTTTTCGTATGTAGGCGGGTAGCTTTCTCACATAATTAGATTAAACTCTATGGCGGTATCCGAGCACACAGTAGTGACATATAGTAAGTGCCGAGGAAGGATATCCAATCTGACAAGTATTATCGTCCTTCATCCGGGTAAAGATTGACTAGAGGACATTTTGTAGGCTCTTGACATGTAAAATTAAATCATTGTATATTTGAGTAATTTATTTTTTGCAACAATATAACTTTGTCAGTCACATCGAATACCATAACCTCTAAAAGTTTACAAACAGTAAAAAACATACAGTGACAAATATAGAGTGTGTTGTTTTTGTTGGATTATAAAACTTGACAAAAAGAACATGAAGTTGAGCAAAAGAAGCATATATACAATATATCAGTAATGGCCGTGATGCGTTCCCTTTACTAGGTAGAAAACTGAACAGTAGTAATGTTAATATCTTTACCGTCAAAATTCCTAATGATACAAGTTATTTCCTTACCAACGATTTCTATTAGCTTTAAAATATTGTAAAGCTTAAACATTAAAAATAACAATTTGCAACTTGTTTGCAGAATTCCGTATATATTTAACACAAATGTCACCATTTATTGTATAAATTAAAGTCATTCATATCGAATTTTCTTTATATTTCAATATTTCATATGCGTATCTGTTTACCAGCGTTTTGGTATCCCCTACTATTTCATCGCTTTTACGATAATTTAGAGATTTACAGTGTAGAATGTCCAAACTATTCGTCACACATAAATGAAAGTCATGTGATAAAGTAATTTCCGCTTCCGGTTTACAGTCTCAGTTTACTTCTTGCCAATGCTGAGAATGCCAATGATATCACTCCCCATATTTCCAGAAGAACTTTCGCCCCATGCTGAATTTGCCCTTTGACCTCGGCAGCCAGGGCAATGTTCTTCATAAGAACTGTTCATCCAGCCACTACTTCCGGTAATACACGTGGCAGTGTGAGTCCCTTCGGGGTCCTTAACTGTGTAACTACTGCTTGAAACAGAACTTCCTTTTGAGAAACTTTCTGTTTGTCCCATTTTTACAGAAAAGATTCTATCTGAAAAAAGAAAGATTTTTCTTTAATCTTTTAAACGAAAAAAGGAAAATGATAATAGGATTAGATAAAAAGTAAAAACAACAACGACAAAAACGACGTGCCAAAAGAGCTGATCAACATTTCTATATCATCAATACATTAGTCCAGCTAAAAGCAATACACTGGTTTTCAAACGCAGATTTTTAGTTTTTGGTGAAAATAAATAGAATTTAATTAAATTGTTATTGTTTGAAAACGTTCCTGTACTATTTAGATGACAGTCGATATGAATAAATCATTTATTAACGAATGGTCCGTTAATTAAAGTGCGGCAAGTCATGCCATGCGATGTAATACATAGTGTGCATATGACTTCATTTCGTTATTATGCTAGTAAGAAATATCAGTATCATAGCTGTAAATTATCACGCCATACCATAAATAATGAAATGCATAATTATATTGATTTTAGTAAAACAAAAAAAAGAGACCGTCAATCGAATGGAATACTTTATTAAATATTATGTGATATAATAAGTCATAATGTGTAATTGTCACATTAAGTTTTAACATATATATTTATTTTATCAAATAATAATGTTGTACTAAATCAAATAAAATCTTACCTCACAAATTGTGGAATGTGTTTGAGTTGAAGTTGTTTATTCTCAAGTTGAAATTGAGAGATTTTAGAAATAATGTTGAATACTTTCTTTTATATGCCCGGATATAGGGTGTTATTAATAGAACTATGAAATAATTATTATACATGTATATTACTATGCCTGAAAACTTTCAAAGGAAACCGTCAATGCATAATAACTTGCTCATATTTATTTATTGCAATGAGGGAAGCATTGCGGGTCTCTAAGTACAAGCGTTCATTATAAAAACTTAGTTTCGCCTGTAAATACCTATCGTGATCATGCATTCTCCACCCCTTCTATAGAGCCTCTTTATATAAGATTAGATACTTTCAGTTTCTTAATTCACGGGTTTCCATTTGTGTGTTTATATATAATCAGCATCTGTATATGTCAATGTTATAACAACTTTGTATAGAAAGAACATCGTAGTGCACTAGAACAATGTTGTCAAGCTGTTGCTGCTACATAATAAATATTTATATGTGTACTTGATTCATTTATTTAAGCTAGATTGTATGGGAAGTTTGAGATTGGTTTGAAAACCTCGCTAGTCTGATTCGTGGAACTAACTAATACTATGGTCATATAAGGAATCAAGGCCGTGTCCCAGTAGAGCTCGAATCTACAATCACTAGCTATACAGTCAGACAATACAATAATTAATTCATCCATAAAACGTGAACATCTAGCACCTCTTTATAATTTTTAGGAAATACGATGATTTGCGAGTCAGTAATACTACATAATAACAAATATCCTGATATGATAATCTGTGTTAAGTAAAAATCAGGGTCCAAGTGTTTGTTTTGTCAGTTGCTGGCTGTGTAAATGTTGTATGAAATGACATTGCTGTATATTGAAATAGTATTTCATATATTTAATTCTCTTGTGTTTTTGTTTATGACTAGATAATGCCATTATTTTATGATGATATAAAAACATATCATATAATATATACATGTATATTCATGTATATAACAAAAGCTTGCAAAATGACAATCACTTTCAAGATAGACTGGTTCATATATTTATTTGTAGAAGAGGGTTATACTATCCGTGGAAGGTCGGTGGATCTAGTCACCTGCCTGTTTAAGACTGAAATATTGATCCGAGGATTGCAGATTGTCTTCCTTATTCATTTTATCTGGAATGTCGCCATGTGGTGTTTGCAGTGTCATTGGGACTCTATCCTTTAAATATAAAACAAAGATAAATAGTTATTAACAGATATACATGTAGTATATTTAATACAATATAGTATAGTATTCTTTTAAACACACTAGCCCAATAACACCGTCACCCACGTTCTTGGACACTTTACCTTTATATACATTGCACAGGAAAACTGTGCACTTAAATTTCCTGTCGGTATCCTGCTATAAAATAAGAAAGATTGTATAGTTGAACAAAACACTACTCATGGATATATGTGACAGCAATACGTAATTTTACTTTTTCATGATGTTATATACATTGTAATTCAAAACTAATTTATCAATACAATATTGGTATTAAAACATGTCTGTGTCTGTAAAAATTTTCACATCACGCCGATATTATAATTTCTGCATAAAACATTCAAGGAAAAACAATATGGATATTATTTGCAATAATAGGGCTCGAGTTTATAGGGAAAAAAAACAACACTTTCGTGTGCTTAACATAAAATGCGTATATAAATTTACAATGTTAACAAAGGCACTGCTGTGAGTATTTTTTCTGTGTCTCTCTACGTTAAAATGCCAGTTAGGATAAATTTAGATTAGCAGAAACATTAGAAAACCAATGTTTTCTTGCATTGCAGCATATATACAGTGTTACAGTATCTTTGTAATGGAAGTTTATCAAAGAATACCAGAAAGGAAAACCATCTTGCATATACATATTAATAGACTGCCAAAAGTGTTGTATTTTTATGGACATTCAAATTCAGACTTATTCAGATTAATATTTTAAATTTTGTAACTTAAATACAAAACGTCTAAAGAACAATTTGACTGTCCTTTTCTCCGGTCGATTTCTTATTTTATATAAGATAAAGATCAACAAGGAATGGCGGCATTCAATGATACACTTTCACATTAAATAACAAATGATACACTTTTTTCTCTTATTAAAAAAAAATGCACCGGGCATTCTTTACAAACTGTATTGGAAGCATTATTGTATCAAATGGTATCTTAAAAGTATCCCAATGATCTTCATATTACAGTCAATAACAATACTATTCACACAAACATCTATGATAAGAGATGGTATAGTCAATCATTCACATTTAGATGGAGTTGTACCCCATGCAACATCTTACGGGGTATATGTATCTTAGTTAATTAGATTTTATAGCTTGTAGCCATGTAAACGATTTTAACGAACGGAATGTTTTCATTTCTAGCAAGATTTTCTATCATAGATTACGGAATTACATGTATTAATCTAAATTTCATAATCCAAAGTTAGATTTAAGTTCAAAATTCAATAGCAATTTGAAAACTCTTATGTGATCCTGATTTCTATGGAGATGTGATCTACAAACTTCATAAGATCTTGGGTCATGGTATTTTTGACAGTCTTTTTAAAGCTGCACGCCTCCAGTTGAGCCAAACTATTTTTAAGAAATTCAGTCTTTAGAAAAATGTATTAAGATCTTAAGAAAAAGTAAAAAGATTCAATATTTAATAAATAATTATATATAATTTACATGTTACGTGCGATTAATGTCTGATTTTGCGGTATCAATTACTATAATTGACCTCTGTTTGGAAATTAACATGGATTGTAAGTACCGTTTGCAATGTGTAATTTACTTTATTGTTCACTACACAATATTTTACTTTTAAATGCATTTTCAATATTTTCATGAAAATTAGCATCAGTCTGGAGGCATGCTGCTTTAAAACATCATTTAACGTTTTATTAAAAGAGGCTTCGACCCTCCTTTTGTAAGACATACTACATTCTTTCTGTTCAACCATTTTATCATCAATATGACTATCAGATAGGTCCTTTCAAATTGAAATTACGATTGTTTTGTCTGCAATTATATTAAAATTACCAATGATGATATTTACACAATTTAGAAGTATTGAAGTCTCAAGTCGTATGAGTACTGGACTGAATATCTAGGTCAGAAACTACTTTATCATAATAAAATATGATATTACTTACAGTCCAACAATTGCATGACTGTTGCAAAGTAAAGTACAGTCAGTAGAGATTAATCAGGTGTTTCTTTCTCATACGTTTCTATTAGTTCGAGCCTAAGTTAGCTCATATGTGTTTTGAAGTTATTAAGTTTTTAATGTGAATTTACCATGACAATGATATGTGAATGTCCGTTGTTTATTATATGAAGGAGCAATACATTCCCATTCTTTTAAAATGATTTATTTGTTATTAACAAAATGGTATTGCTGGATATATCAAGGGAGCTTACTCATACTAATACTATTTATTACATTTTGGGATAATACTGCACCTTTAATCAACTTTCTTATGTCTTTCTACAATACACATTATTTGTTTATTCATTATACATATCATTAGCTTAATAAGTATAGAAATTTCATTATATTATAAGTTAATGATTCGATCCCTTAACAGTATTTTTTTAAATGACAGTAATTTATCAGCATATCACGAGTAATTCTACACTATCCCTGTAAATGCCAGTTAAAAGAAAGTTTGCATAGCCATTAAAATCTGTCATTCGTGTAAAATATTAATGCGATTTATAATTTTTTCATTTAAGCCAGAATATCACATTTCAGCTCAATTAACGTTAATTTATTCTGTTTTTCAAATTTAGTGGTTATTCTATATAAAAGTGATTGATATGCAAAAAAGACTTTAGTATAATAATGAGAAATGTTGAAATATGAGATATTATAATAATTATTATATTATTATAAATTAGTTACTATTATACATGTATATAAATTCTTATAACATGATCTATCATGCTTAATGATAAATTTTGTCGCATAATAATGCTATTTATCCCTTTTTTATATAAGCTTCATATTTTAAAACATTTATATTTACAGAAATGACGAATTTGGAAAAAGGCCAAGGTTATAGATAATTTAGAAGTATTTATCTTTTTTTCAGTCTAGATACAAACACATCCGTGATACAAAACTATTACAATTTTTCTAAGAAACCGAAAAAGAAAGTAGCGATTTAATTAGGTACAAAGTACACGTCATTGGAAAACACAATAATTATATTTAAAGTGTTTGAGCTGTTTCTATTTCTGGAATGACCTACAAAGACAGTTTTCGTGTCAATCCGGATTAGTTGAAGTGGTGTAATCTCTCCCACTTATGACTTGAACAGGCTGGTTCTATTTGTGTTTCTACATATGTTTTAACCTAGTTATTTATGTTATCATAATCAACATCTGCTTCTGATCAATTAACAATGACAATGTCACGGTGTTTTTCACATAAATATTTAGCGTAAACAATAATTCTTTTACAATATTATCTCAGCAGGTCGCATATTGATATTTCAAACATATATTTCATATAATTAATACAATCTGATATTTTACGACTTAAGTTTTAAAACATAGAGTAGAACATGTATTACAACTAATAAATGATGTAAATGTTGTACGCGCACAAAGTGAACTAAATTCGTAAGATATTGGGTTCTAACTTGGTGTCACAGCCAATTTTTCTCTTATGATACCAGTACTTGTAAATTCCAGGAATCAAACTCGACAATGGTTTCAATAAGTTTCAAGCTTTCTTTGCAACCGAGATAAAATAATAATGATTAAACTTCAGCATTTTATTACAATATACCTTACACAACAAGTACAAATTAAACATATTTTATAAATATATAGAAAAGAAACTAAACGGCTATTGTGGAAAATACTAGCAATAAATAAACAATCTGAGTAATGATAAAATAATTATTATGATTTGAACAAACACACTCCAAAATCGGTATATTTCTGATTTTCTTCAAAAGATATTTCGTATTTTATTTTGCATACAATTTTCTCAAATTGACATTTTTGGATATTTCTTCAAAACAGTATCAGTAATAATATTGCTTTTTAATGTAATTGTTGAAATACTAAAGTAATCACTTAAAATATTATAGGAACCTTACACTGACTGCCGGTACAGACAGGAATATCTAGCCCGAGGGTAACTGCTTACGGCGGTAAAAAGCTCTGCCGTTAGCCGAGATTTTTTATTCCTTTTTCTTGCATATTACTTATTCTACATATCTCGGAAAGAAATAACAAAAAACTTGCATTATCAGTTAGCACTGTTTTCTTAGCGTATGAATTTACAATTTCATGTATAATGATAAAATGACGTCATTCTAAGGACACCATTCATAAAATGTTTTACACGAGGGGTGTATGACAGGTTTTTCTAGCCCCAATAGATGATCATGTCTGATATGCAAGAAACCAATGTCCTTGAATATCACGGCTTTAGGAATCACTTAATGCTTGATTTACAAGTGAATGGTCACGAATGCACAGGACCTTTGAACACAAAGACTTGATCACCGTCAAGGTTATAATTTTTTCTATTTTATTCTATTCAGTCAAGCAGTTTCTTCTCTAAAATGTAATATAGCATTGTGACATATTTCATTGTTTAATACTGAATCACTGTGAACATTACATTGTGTACCTGCCGTATTAATTAGAGCTGTTGACCTTATCAAAAGTTAGTTAACCTTGTACGTTCTTCAAAATCCAAAAAGACCAACAACCCTTAGTGATTTTCGTTCATTTGATGATGAAGATTTGGTCTTTTCATGTCGACAGCCCGAACAACTTTCATTATGATATCTCGTCATGAATCTACACGTTCCCGAATATCCAGATCCACCAATACAAGAAGATTTGTGTATGCCTTCTGGGTATTTGTCGCCAGAGTTGCTTCCCCATGAACTGGCACACCAACTATCTCCAGAGCTACTCCTACTTCCGTTACTAAAACTGTTGCTTGACCAGCTTCCACTAAACGAGTTGCCCGAATTCATCACCTCTTATCTTGATGGCAAATTTGAATCAAGAATTTCTGCAAATACATATTGAGTAGACATGTTCATAAAATACATAACACATTTGACAATATGAACGTTTCAGATTTACAATTGAAGTAACTTTTAATGACGCACACTGTATTTTTATGTTAATGAAATTCAACGAGAGTACATGTAGATTTTGCTATTGATTTGCAATTAAAAAAATCCTTTTTTAAATTTCAAGAAATAAGAAGTTTGAAAAAGTATCGCAAAGTCTGGAATATGGATTTATTTGTTTTAATTATAAATCCAAAATTTATCCTTATATATTTCAAATATTCGAGGCATGTTACAAATTAACAGATATAATGAAAAAAGAAAACTACCTATCTATTTTCTAATAACTAAAGTGATCAAGTATAAACACATTTCTAAAATATATGAAAAATTCTTACGAGAATACTCTGAAATTTTACTCCGAAATGAAAATCTAAAATGAATTGATAACATATGCAAAAAATCAATAAATCCAAAAACATCATACGCAGTATGATAGCTTTTCTTACCTTCACATAATATTATTCACTTTGTCAGTTAATCAACTTTCCTAGAATGATGAAAAACAACAAAAGTAATATCATATGTTTTACTAATTGTGTTTTAGAGGTACAAATCTGAATAACTGCCAAGTTTACATGTCAGTATGAACTCAGCGCCTAACAGCTTGTTTTTTTTTATATTGAGAACGTCGTTGGCATCAAATACTAAATTTTTCTTTTCCAGTGTTATTCTTAAACCTAACGGTTCTGTTGATGGCCCCCACCTCCCTATAAAAGCTAGTAAAATGCAATTAAGAGGTTATTAGTGAAATAATTAAAGATAAGATGAACAATGAAGAATTATGTGTAACATTTCATTTACTTGTAGCAGTGATAAGAATAGATAATTATAAGACATATTATGACAAACTCTTAAACTTGTCTGACAATGACGTAAATATCGGAATCATGTATAGGTGAAAGAACTACTGCGCTCTTACTTTGAGATGTAATTCGAATGTATGATTTATTTTACAGAAAGAAAACAAAAGAACATTAAAAAAAGGAAAACAAAACAAAAACAAACGAAAAGAAAACCTGTCAAAACAATACACTTTTTGAACGTGGATATAACAAACATCTTAAAGTCCAAATGATGATTGTAAGAAGGATTTTATGTTACCCACAAAGAAGTGTCTAATTGTGAAAATAAGTTTTATGGAAAAACTTCAATGTAAACAAATCAAATTCAAAACAGAATTAAACTTTATTAGTATATTGTGGATATTTATAATATTATTTGCGATTATTTTATTACGCATTCTCCTTGTCATTTACTGTGGAGTGTCGACCATTAAATATTTAAGCTGGCAAATTTCTATATACATGTACTTAATGTGTGGTTCTTTTTCAAATCAATGAAACGATAAATGTCCCAACCTATGTAGAAAGTAGACGGCCCGTACTTCACTTCAGTGTTGTTATATGTTTCTGGTCGGTCGGGATCATTGATTCCAGCACTTTTAAGCGTTGGAAATTGAGTACCGCTAGAGCCGGTGCTAGGGGGCATGAGAAATGTTGGGCCTTTTCATTATCCCCCATGGAAAGACCCAGTTAAACCGAGTCTGCAATTTTCATGTATTTTTTTGTAATTAATTCTTCGAAGGATTATCCTTCTTCTATTTTTTTACATAGGGTCATCTTGATAAGAAATTAAGAATATATTTTCATTTGAAAAAAATGCACTCCACACCTACTTGTTTTATAATAAAATTCAATACACTTATCAAAGTAAATGGATGACAATATAAGTATCAAAGATTCTCAAGATTTAATAGTATTTATTTACGTATATCCTATCATTTACAACCAGAACAGAAAGAATACCTCGAATAATATAACTACATTTTTATTGCAACTGCAAATAGTTTGTTTATACAATATTGCACTTTTTTTCAAAACAAGCTACACAATAAACAACAATGAAATGTATACAGCCTCAGTTATCCCATAAACTTTTCTTTGCTATTTTTGGCCTGCTTCCAACAAACAGTGATACTAATGGAATGACGGCGCTGCCACTGTTTGTATTTGCCCGTCCGATTGCTCTATCCCTGCGACATCCGGGACAACTTTCGTCATATCTATAACTGCTTCCTCCCCACGTCCGTATACCTTCTGTGCACCAGAATCGATGTTTAACAATCCCTTCAGACTTCTTGCTAGGCCCTAAACCGCTAGAGCCCCAGTCATTTGAATTTGAGGAACTGGAACCAAAGCCATTAGTCCCCCAACTTGTAGGTCCAGGAACGCTTGTTCCCCATTCACTGGACCCCCAAGCAAGATACTCAGTACATCTAATATTCGAGCTTGTTTCACTTGCTCCCCATCCGCTACATCCCCAGGAGCCGGGCCTGGATTCATTCGATCCCCAAGAACTGTGACGATTATCTTCCTCCGACAAGTTCCCCCATGACATGTTTGTGTATATCGATGTCAGTAAAGGCTAATCAAGTCTAAATAGAAAAATTGATTACTTACAGTTGATTGCATGAACAAACAGTTTTCGCAATTTTTGTCAAAACAAATAATTATTTGACCATCATGTTCTGTATTGCAATTTTGTTACTCTTATTTTTATTTATATTAAGTTTTTAGTAAATGTACTAATCTACTAATCGTTTCTTAAATTGATGACAAGTAAAAACAGTAACTTTTTACCAAAATCAAATTATCTTGTAGTTTTTGGTGCAATATTTAAAAATAAATACCTCCAAGTGACATTTGATTCCGCTCTCGAGATGTTTTAAAAGAATCCAATGTCAACGCATTTGTTCAGATGATACCGACTGTTAAACCGACATAGAAGCACTTATACTTCTGCGAGAAAGTTTTTTATAATCGTTATTCGTATTTCAAATCGATAATATACACATTTTCCCACACAGTTTTTTACAGACACTATTTATAAACACATGAACTGTTCCTATTTATAAATATATGAACCGTTTCTATTTATAAAAGAAATGTTCACTATTTTGATATTTGCTAATGGATTTTGCGGATAATGTGTACATTATCATGATACTGATCATTGATCGTGATACAATTCCGCAACATTTTTTTACATATGAAATGTTTCTATTTATTATTTAAAATTGGAAAACCTGTAATAAATGAATAATATTATTAAATCCGTACATGTATTGCTATAAGTATCATGGTGAGAAACGCTATCACGTCAGTCTTTATAAGCCAATCAACATTTGTACTGCGGACTTTAATTTCTGGCGGGAACAAGCGGTGAAAGAATTTCTTAACTTTTCAATCAAATATTTATCATGATTTCAGGTTTCCCTTTCCTCCTTTTTTTCCACCAACAACGATTTCTACCATGAGCATTATTAAGATTGTTATATACATACTCGTACATGTATGTTGTACATGTGTATATTGCGAATGTTTTCTTCGCATCCAACTTTGTAGTTAGATAATTATATTCGTATTAACTGTTTTGTCATTGACAACAAACTTTGCTGTTATATATGATGTATGTATTACGGGTCCCAGCTTTTTTGTTATGTATGTTTTATGCACCCAACTTTGTAACTATTTAGATTGTTCTTAAAATCATACATTACCACTAATAAACATCCGGTTCTGGTCTTTTCAACTAACATAAAGATAAGTGTTTAGACACAAATGAACAAAAGAGATTGTAACGGTTATATATGTATCCCATACCATAGAGAAATAATAAAAATCTTTAAATCTTTACAAACATTTCAAACTTAACATGCTACCATATACATGATAATTTTCATTCATTGTTAATTTTCAGTCGTCAATATGATCAATACCACTTTAGAAGATTCATATATATATATATAAATTTCCCTCTCGGATACAGTCGACGAAATTATAATACAGTCATGTAAAAAAATCATTGTTTATTTAGGTTGTTCTACAGAGTATCATAAATGCTGATACGTTCCTTTGATATCTTTCATAATACATTATACACACATAATATATAACATATTTAACGTTTGTCATATATCACTCTGTTGATATAGTTATAAAATAAATAGTACAAGACCAAGCTGAATATCTAACCTATATCATTACAGACCACAATACATAATTATAATTATAATTCAGTAGGGTCAAATTTCGATTATTGGTAAAACATTATGTGTTTATTGATTGTTAATGGCATTTGGTATAATGATACCCAAGTACAAAACAATGCTATTCAAAAGACAAGTTCTTCAGTTCAGTCTATTTTATTCTTAATTTTTGAAGAAAAAAAACCAAACAATTTTAATCCCTGTAACGACATGTTTATATGACATTTAATGTTATTTAAGAGCATTTTCAAAAAGACGATCTACCTCTGTAGTTATTTGCTTGTAAATAGAGATATGTTCAAGACAAAGATTGAGAGATTTTGAGCTTTTATTCGAAATATTCATTAAAATATAGGTTATACAAATACAATACAAAATGAGCATACAAATAAAAAAATAATGTGTAGATATAGTTGTTCAAATGCATGATTCGTTAACCCTGTGTTGTTTTCCTAGTATGCCCTTTCATCCGGGCATAATATGTGTCACAAAATCTAATAATGAAGTTCTTGAATCGTGTAATCATTGTCTCGAATAATTCAATCAAAGAAGATATTTGACCAATGACGACTAGATCCCTTAATACAAGAATTACATCAAAGACTACATCAAATGTTGTTTTAACACATCTCTTAATCATATGACAAGTAACATTACAGCAACTGTATACCTACAACATGGTATCACATAATTATTATTGTATGTAGAATCAAGTTTTTCATGTCTGAATATGATATCAAATGCAATCTTTTTGTCCAAATGTAATTTACTTCTATCCGCAAAATTGCTGTTATTGTTGTACGCCTGAATTTGTTTAAATGTACATACAGTTCGTATCTGTCTGCAACAATCGTATATTTTATCTTCCTTAGAGCCGTTTGTTCATAGCGATCAAATTATTTATAATTATTGCACATATTGCTTATATTTCACTTTCTAGAACACTCATGCAGACATGTCGACAATATTGACACTAAGAATAACTTGTTTAAACAAGTAAAAAACATTCTCGTCGCATAATTGAACTGATCTCTGAGAAATCATTCGTTTTCAATCCCAAAGGCTTTTCTTAGCTAACACGCCAATTCCAAATAAAGATGCAATTTTTAATGCAGGGTTTCCGCCAGATTGAGGGCTGCCCCATGATGATTTGGACCTGTCATGTCGGCAACCAGAGCAGCTTTCATCATAGTAATTTTTCATAAGTCCACTGTTTCCCCAGCTTCCAGATCCAGCAATACATGAAGCATTATGGGTTCCTTCCGGATCCTTATTTCCAGACCTGCTTCCACTATTTCCTCCATTGAAACATTTCTCAGACCAACCATTTCCCCAAGAGTTACCAAAACTCATCATTCCAATTTGTCAAACAAAATTAGCGACTTTTCCTTCAAGAGAAAATAAGTAAGTGTTAATTTAGGTGCATATTTTTGCATATTTTTGATAAAATGTAGTTTCACTCATGTCCTATTTGGAAATACTCAGTATTTTACATAGATAAAACGAATCGGGGTTTGTTGTAATTCACATCTATCAAATGTTATGTTTTGTGATAATAGCTTTAATATCTTCATATCTAAATAGATATGCCGCAAGCGTTTTTAATTATTTTTGCACATTTGTTGAGTAAGGCATTTTATAGATAAACTCTATAGAAGTTCTATATTTAAAAAGCCAAGTTCAAGATGAATTTTGGTATATATAGAATTTCAGTGTAATAATTTTATTATTTCTTCGTTTAAAAATCTATTTAATCCTAACTTTTTGATTCAGTAAAGTTTAATAATCATTTTTTAAAAGCATTTTCACAGTCAAAGAAAGAAATTACCTTTTTAAATCCAGTTATATCAAGCAAATTTAAAGACCTAGTAGTGTTTCCAAACTCAAAAGTAGGGGCGTTATAAAGACAAATCACTGTTCAAAAGCGCTTTTTATGCAGAAATCTGAGCCATGTTGATGTATAATAGGTGGGTTTTTTAATGCGCATGAAATTTCACGTAATATCGAGAATTAACTAAAAAAAACTGTGTCTAATAAAAATTCCATTACTAGTTACAAACTTAGTTAAAGGAAATTAGAAAAAAGACAATCCCTTTAATTCATTGGAAATCCAAACTGTTAAGATATAAATAGAAATTTGTGTCAGGACACAGTGTAAATTGATGTAATATTATTAATGACTCGAGTTTATTAACTTGATACCTTTTGTTTATTCAATTATTCATTTATCTATTCAATACTGACCACCTGACGTATAACTAAATAATCGTGTATTTAATTAAGTTTTATAACAGAATTTTTATAACAAATAACAGAATATTAACACAAAACTCCATTGCAATTAAAAATTAACTTTGAGTTTCTTGTAAGAACTGTAATTGCTGAATTTCAATGGAACAGTTTAATATTTTTAGATTGCAGTTTTTATACTATAAATGATTGTAACATTTAACTAGTTTTTATTTTTTACATTTATTTTAGAAATATATAAGTGCTATATACTAGTATATCATCGATTCATTTTATTAATTTGTGTAAATTACCTGCATAATAACTGAAGCAATTTAAATGAAGATTATGTATTTTGCATTATCATATCATAGGCGAAATTAAGATCATTTAATGTGTATTTTCTCTTCTTTCCATTTAAATAGTCGCTTCATAATTCTCGTTTTGTACTGGCAATAAAGTTTTCTTACAGTATTTTATTAACTCTCTTACAGATAGCATATTCATAATTCGTCCAACGCGTATGTACATATCTTTAATGCAAAACTCAAGTTACCCTTACTCGCCTCAAATTAAAAATAACATCAAAACAGAAAGAAAACGCAGTATTACGCTACGAACATAAAAGATCTTGGTAAACCTGTTGCGGGCGGAAGTAGTAAGTACATTGACATATTTATCGTAAAAAATGAGGACACTGAAGTGGAAAGTATCGGAAATTCCAATGAATCACCATGTTCATATAAACATTGACGCATAGTTGTACTGTTATTTATGTATTATTTTCTATATTACGCACTAGTAACGTTGACTTAAGTTACTGCAGCGAATTGAAATAATATCTGTACATGATATAGTCTGTTGTAATTATCTAGCTATTTATCTAACGTAATTCTTTATGTCTCATCTCAGATAAATATTATAATACTTTAGGTGTAAGGTTATTCATTTAGTGTCCCTGTTCGGATTTAAAGATTTTTTATGTTTAAACATTCTTTATTATACTGCGGCTTATTTCTTGATAGGCATTCCGATGTAAATTACTTATTGTCTGCGCATGCGTGCGCGTATTTAGCCGGCAATGATTAATTATTCGAAGATTGACGGAAAGGGCCAAAAAGTTAAAATTGTTTGTTCCATAAGATTATTTGACGCAGACTTGTGAGGTTTCAAAATAGCTATTATCATTGTCGTTTGCACCTTTGAATGTATGTGATTTGTCAGGAACCCTACAAAAACATACATTCGCTCCATAAGAAAGCTATGCCTAGGGTAGTTTATTACTAATACGCATTATCGCTTAACTGTTAAGATAATAATTATTATAGATTTTCACTTTGAGTTTACATAATTTGTCAAACATTTTTAACTATCCAGTACTAAACTGCTCACGCTTATATTAAATAATGATAGGAGACTTAGATACGACCATTTTATATTGGTATTGTTTTCATTCCAGAAATCAGTGTGTCATTCTTCTATGATTGTTGATATAGTATTTTGTATAAATATAAGAGCAGCATGTGTCATACATAGAGTCTGGTACACGAGACATCACATGTAATAGAAAATATGAATAGTATTTAGTTTTACCAGCATGTTTGAATAACATTATATCTTTCATATTCGACCGCTGCCATTGTGTAAAGGACTATGCAATGTTATCTTAAGTGTAAAAAAATATATCAATTTAATGGGCTAAACTTGATAAAACGGTACATTTGGGATAAAATTTCCATATTTCTGTACATGTGTTTTAAAATTGTACCAGTTCATAGTAAATGTTGAATTCTGCTTAAGCCGGTGCTAGGGGGCATGGACGGTAGTTTGTTTGCACTTAACAGTACCGTCCATGAACAGGCTCTATCAAACCGAGCCTGCAACATTTTCAATTATGCCGTGTTGGGCTTTCTTTAGGGATTCTTATTTTCTCCATTGTAAAGGTTAAACAAAAAGTCATTTTAATTTCAACCTATAATAGCTACATTTAAGCGGGAATTAATTATTTAAATCATTCCTTGAGGAGCTTTATACTTTAAATTCATTCAATCATGCGTGTCATGAGTAAACTATTTCTTTATTTACCGTCTTTGCGGTGATCTTGTTAATTGTTGCAATTATGGTATTATGAATTTTTCTGTTAAAAAAGAAAACAAATTCTATGGTATTTACCTGCATGAAAATGAATTATTTCGTTTCTAATTAAGCCAATTTGCTCTGTTTTATAAGTGATGTAAGCACATGAATATGAAAGAAATGCATGCCTATTAATGCTGAATTAGAAATTATGTACATCCACAATGGATCACAGATTATATGCAAAATGTTGGTTTTGTCTTTCGTTCAACAAAGGTAAATCAGGAAGCAGAGTATTATTTCCAATTTTAGGTTTTGATCATATTAAAACATTTTACAAGGCCTATATTCAAGTTTATAGATTTGATGAATATACATACTTCCAAGGCTTTCAAAAACGTAACGGAATATTTTTGGAAATGTTTAAGGGATAGTACATATTTATATAATATGAATATTTATCTAGATTGGCTTCATAAGAACACTAACATCTTGAACGTTAATGAAAACAAATACTGTACAGTAGAGCTATATACTACAATAAATGAAAGTCAATTTCGTAACTTTTTTATCGTGCAAGTTAGTCCAAATATTTAGACTTACACACCTTCTCTATATTGTTTGTGACAGGTCTATATTTCTCGGATAGACCTGTATAAACAAAGGAAAGTCCGTTATGAGGTATATCTTTTGCACGTGCAAAGGTCTGTTCTAGTTAGACAGACCCGGTCATGAAAAACACGTGAAAAAATAGACCTGCATATGCGCAGACAAAGAAAACATGAAACGCAATCAAAAATTTAAAAAATGAAATAAAATGTAAATGATTGTCATAATGTGCCTGTCTTACTAATTCGGGATACATTTCTTAAACAAGATAATGTTTATTGAATTATTCCAGCATCCCTATATTAAATCTTTGAATAAAAATAATGAATATCATATCAAAGTTAGGACACATTTAACATTTATTTAATCGCGTATCTAACTGGCTTTTCTGTCATTAAGTTCACAATATAACAAAAATGGACGCTTCAAGTTCATTCATATGAAACTATAGCAGTAATCACCTCGGAAGTACCCACCTCTTTGCAGTGGCTGTCATTTGCCCCCTCATATCTTTGGAAGGGTCGGACATTTGCCCAACCCTCCCTGTTTAAAAATGTTATGTTATTTAATTGTTGAATTGTTTGCTACCAAAATTCACCACCTTAAAGCCGCACGCCTCTAGATGAGCCAAAATATTTCAAGAAAATCAATATTGAGAAAAAAAAATAATTAAGAAAGGTAAAAACATTCAAGGTCCAAGTTATATTTTTCATGTTATGTGCGGTTTAAGAATGATTTTGCAGTATTTTATTACCATATTTCTTCTGTGTTACTAACGCAGTAAGGGCTACTTTTGCATATGTTGACGACTTTTTGGTTATTTTCTTTGATTGTAAGTGCCGATTGCAATATGTAAATTGCTTTATTTATTCACCTTACAATATTTTACCTTTAAATACATTTCCAAAATTTTCATGAAAATTAACATGAATCTTGAGACGTGCTGTTTTAAATACACAAAAACTCTCGCGCAAATTTGTGAAAATCAAAATAGCATCCATAAATAAATGAACTATAATGTTTCCATTAACATACAAAAAAATCTATACACGAGATGACCTCTGACAAGTGACAAGTCGCAACAGCAAAATAAAGCAGGCAAACGTCCGAGGGGGCAACTGTCTGGGGGCAAATGTCCTAGATTTCGCGATGACTGATACGAAATAATATCAACATAATTATTCATTCTTTAACATACCTTACATTACAGAACTACATGTATTTACTTTTTATATGCATATTGCACATTTGGCTTTTTTAATTATTATTTTAAAGGGAAAAGCAAAGTTAAATGCAAAATATATATTGTATTTAAGCAGAACGTTGATAAAAGCTTACCTATATATGCGCTGTGTTAATAATAATATTTGTACATTACATCAAATGCTTCGGATCAGCTATTACTCAAGACAATATATAGTTTTACGGTGTGTAAGTTGGATATCGGCCTCGTACATCGATCTTTCTGTTTAGGAAAGACCTGGTCACGAATTTCATGAAACACGAGGCCGATATCCTATACGTAAATCGCGGATTTGAAGCTCTTTTTTACATTGGTCAAATTCGCATTTTCCGATAAATGTAAAACTGTAATGGAGGATATATAAATAGTTAGCTTATTTACATATATAATTATTAAGATTTTGTGTTATTATGTTAAAATCAAGTATTAGGCATTACAGTCTTATCACAAATGAAAATTACATATCGGCCATGAAGATTCATGTTTGATATCAAATAATTTCATACCAGTTAGATTGTCAAGATACACTTTCTCGCTCACCGGATATATCTTCTCCATTCCGACTTCAGCCATATATTCTTTATTAAATCATAGTGGTTGGTTATGATGTGCTATTTATTCTATTGTGTGTAAATAAAAACAGTACTTTACATAACTCAAAATCTTGTAACATTCACTATAAATTTCTTGTACAATGGTTAAGTTAAATTCTGTAGATCTGTTGAGCAAGAAAAGTAGGTAGCAATTCTGTAGGACTGTTGAGCAAGAAAAGTAGGTAGCTAGCTTATTCAAGCAATTACAAAGAAATATCCTTATTTTAAGAAAAAGAACCGAAAAAAAATAATGTTGCATTTTCAAATTTTCACGGAAGTATTTCGGTACAAAGTAAAATTCAAATTAGTATTTTTTTTTCAAAAGTTATACAGTTATTTGCGAATTTTTCTAAAACTGATTAATGTGTTTAAAATGAGTACGTTTACACTAGTCTGATTGATGTGTTTGTGTGTGTTTATATAAAATGTATATTGATATATAAAACGCGAAAATTAGAGACACACTGTCTCACATCTATGTCAGATATAAATTCATTCACCGTATCACTTCTCTGAGTGATTAACATGAATTTTCTTGCCTGCAATATTTTGGATATTTGTAATTATCTGTTGTATGCGACATGTCAAATAAAGTGAATAACCAACCACACGATGAGTCTTATTA